ATAAATTGGTAATAGACTCTACAGATTTACACTGTAAATACATTATTATAACGTGTAGGTATTGGGTATTGCTTTTAACGTATATTTCAGTAACAACTGTTTGATGAAAAAAATACAATAATGAAAGCCATTTAGAGCTATCAGAGCTTAAATTGTTCATTTATAACTTGCCGGATTGATAATTATTTTTATTACTCACTATATTTGCACACATTTTTTTCAATTTAAAGTAGATTCCTTTAAGAAGTTTTGGATATTAATATGCTTTTAGCTTATTAATTAGGAGTGTAAAACGTTTCCCTTGTAAACAGTGCTATTTTTACAGTTTGTTTTTGGAATTTATACCTACACTTTTATCTTGGGAACTTAAGAAAACCAAGTGCATTCGTAACAGCTTACAGCAATAAAATTAATAATAAAAAAAAAAATGTATACTGCCCAGTCCAATGACAACTAAGTGAAAGCAACCTTCACACTTAACAATGCGCTCAAGCATAAACGTAACCAATCGGCCACGAATGCCACGATGTCGGGTCGAACGGTCAAATACACTATTTTGAAATCACGTTAAACTGTGTAACGCGCCTTATCATTTAGAGGAAGTTCGCGAACAAAATGACAATTTGTGGAAACCTGAGTTCATTTCAGACCAACGAGTAACACATGGCAAGCGAGGTGTACATAAAGAGTAAACCCGTTGAGCGCGTTGACGTACGCTTCAACACTCTAGGATCAACGCTGGAACGAACCTTGTGTTTTTGTTGGTCTTTGAAATGCAAACCCGAGTGAAAACCGGCGTTAATTATATTCGGTGTTTGTTTTCTAAACGAGTTGGTAGAGCTTTATAAAGTAGTGTGAACATAAATTTTAATGGATCGTTTTTTTTTGAAAACCTTCGCTGGTGGTTAATCTTGTTTGAAAGATGAAAAAAGGGTAAATACACTGGTAAATAATCAATTGAATCATAATTTGATATGATGCTTATTGGTTTGGCTTTGTCTTTTGGTCCCTTTTCCACTGCGAAAGATATGCGGTACGAAAATCCAAAAAATGTGTTGGTACCTAAAAATTATTAAAAAAAAAATGCAAGGTTTGGAATTTGTAAGTAATCTAAAAATTTACAATCTTAACTCTCTTGTGATCTTACACCCCCATCTATGATATAATTACCTTATACTTTCTTAATTCGTCTACATCAACCATTATATACCACTAACATATGACCTATATATTTATACCTTTAATGTCAATACTTATTAATTTTAATAAAGAATATAAATAAAATAGTATCATTGCACTCTGATAATACATTATTCCTTATTTGCAAACTAGACTAGAAACTAATTTCAATCATAATTAGTTGTTGTTATTTTCAATTCAAAAGTCAAAAACAATGTTAATTAGTAACGGTACATTTTACTACAATATAAAATATTTTTGGTAAATATCATAGCTGCAAGCTCTTTTAAAATATCCTTTAATAGCTTTTTGTTAGTGTTTACGTTCGTTTTCTATTTTCCGGCACAACAAAGCAGGTAATTTTTAATCCAGAATACTCTTTAATGTTTGACTTTGTATCCAATATGTTTGGGATGATACCTTGAATTGAGTAGTCGATACTATAAACTGTTTCAACACATTGTTAAATGCAACTTCTCTTTATTTTGTTGAAAAAAGTTGATTGTAAAAATTCCAATTTATAATTTCCAAATTTAGAAATTTTATTTAAACTTGATAAAATGAAGTAACTTTACCATTTAGTTTATAGCTTTGCAAGTCAATTCACATTGGCAATGCTAATGCAAGATGTTTTGTGATGTTGTTAGTTTGATATTTTTAGCTTTGTAAGTGGTAATTTGCATGTTCACAACAACAGCCACTGGGTAACCCGCCAGTAAAGTTATTTAAAGCACGAAAACTACGAGGAAATCCCTTGTGTTTCAGTAGTAGATCTAAGGTTTCATATTACATGTTGAAATATGAAACCAAAAAGTGAAACATTGCTATCATAACTGTTAACACTTTAACAACAACAACAAAAAAACTAATTGCATGTATTGACCCTAGTATGACCTTAGATAATACCTACTCCAGAATGTAATAATGAAATTAAAAACAAAAATATTGATAACATAGAACAAATGAGAATTAAAAAAAAATGTGAGAATTAAAAGTAATGTTGTATACTGTGAGAGCTAATGTAAACATAACAAGCTCAACGAAAATGTTAAGCTAGAAATCATAGACCAAATAAATACCTCTAAATAAAATAAATAGACTAAATAAATAGATAAAAACCTAGTGTAGTGGTTAGTGAATACTGACAGATAAAATAGCTCAACATCGTGCTGTATAATCCTGCACTACCAAACAGGTAATTCTATGTGCTACACTCTAAACACAACAGCTGTTGTTGAGTGTAGTGGTTAGGGAACACTGGCAGATAAAAAAGCTCAACATCGTGTTGTATAATCCTGCACTACCAAACAGGTAATTCTATGTACTACACTCTAAACACCACAACTGTTGTTTAGTGTAGTAGTTAGTGAACACTGATAGATAAAATAGCTCAACATCGTGTTGTATAATCCTGCACTAACACACAGCTACAACTATGTGCTACACTCCGAACACCACAACTGTTGTTTAGTGTAGTGGTTAGTGAACACTGACAGATAAAATAGCTCAACATCGTGTTGTAAAATCCTGCACTAACACACAGCTACAACTATGTGCTACACTCCGAACACCACAACTGTTGTTTAGTGTAGTGGTTAGTGAACACTGACAGATAAAATAGCTCAACATCGTGTTGTATAATCCTGCACTAACACACAGCTACAACTATGTGCTACACTCCGAACACCACAACTGTTGTTTAGTGTAGTGGTTAGTGAACACTGACAGATAAAATAACTCAACATCGTGTTGTATAATCCTGCACTAACACACAGCTACAACTATGTGCTACGCTCTAAACACCACAACTGTTGTTTAGTGTAGTGGTTGGTGAACACTGACAGATAAAATAGCTCAACATCGTGTTGTATAATCCTGCACTAACACACAGCTACAACTATGTGCTACGCTCTAAACACCACAACTGTTGTTTAGTGTAGTGGTTAGTGAACACTGACAGATAAAATAGCTCAACATCGTGTTGTATAATCCTGCACTAACACACAGCTACAACTATGTGCTACGCTCTAAACACCACAACTGTTGTTTAGTGTAGTGGTTAGTGAACACTGACAGATAAAATAGCTCAACATCGTGTTGTATAATCCTGCACTAACACACAGCTACAACTATGTGCTACGCTCTAAACACCACAACTGTTGTTTAGTGTAGTGGTTAGTGAACACTGACAGATAAAATAGCTCAACATCGTGTTGTATAATCCTGCACTAACACACAGCTACAACTATGTGCCTGCTCTAAAACTATTGTGAGTTACGTGGTAACTCTTGCTACTGCTTTAATTTAGCAGATGAATGATAGGGCTAGTAGCTAGTGTGCTGTTATGATATTTCGTTTTCGTTTGTATTTTTAACAATCGCAACATTGACTTTGATCCTAAAACGATAATAGCCTAATAAATTGGTTTTAAAATAATTAATAGATTAATGCAATTACTTTTCTTAAGGTGCATGTTAAATCGTGTTTATCGCTAAATATTATAATTCTTTTTTAAAGCACTATAGGTAATGCATACATTTATTTTTGTAAACACAAGGAAATCAACAAACATAATTCTATTACAACACTTAAGCCATTATATTGAAAGCTAATACAAAAAGATTACCTACCTAGATAAATATTTTATAATTAATATCTAACCTTGTTTTTACTAAACAATGGTGTCCTGTTTTAGCAATAAGTACCACAAACAATACGTTATACACATGTTGTATGAACAGCAAATAGCCTTTGGCAAGTAATAAAATACAAATGTCAGTCTAGATTGAAACACCCATGTTTATGATATGACACTGGCTTTTGTGTTTATACAATCAGTAGTTTAATATAAAGTGAGATTCCCCGGGTATATTAGCACTTAGAATTAATACATGAGATAATCGTTGCTACTTGCTTTTATTATGACCATTTGCTAGGCAGATTGTACAAGCACATGTGCTACTCTATAGTTCTCGATTTGAAAAATGTAAATTATTTTAATTGAAACATTTTCAAATTGTTGCACTTCCGACTGAAATTTTCATTAATAACAACATTTGTTACATTGGTCGTAAATAGACAGTCATAACTTTAATCTCAGATGTATTTCAATGTATAAAATAACTGAAAGCAATGGTTTGGCTTGTTTACATTTCGTATGAAACTAGCTCGCATGTTGAATATGAATAGTCTGTAATATGAATAATCTGACAAAAAGCTCATTAAACAAATAATCATTCTTCAAAAAATATTTTTTATGAAATTCGTATATACCCAAAACTAGATATCTGTAGATGGATATTAGACGAACGAATTTATTAACACTTTAGCCTTTATGAGATCATTTATGAAATTACAATGTATTATTAACTAATTGGCAGTAGAATGAAAAAAATAGTTACATTTAATAATGGAACTAGTTTGCTACTAACTCATTAAGAGTTAATAGGAATATGATTATACATGTATGTTTTCTCAAAACACATAGCCTGGTTATGTTAATATATTTTTTTAAATAATATAACAAATTTTAATGATTTGACCATATTTAACCGAGGCAGTGCAAATATTCATTTCACATATTACATAAAGCTACATTAATACAACTAGACAGGTAAACATTGTAAAAATAATCGTAGAACGCTACACAATTCGAAATGTTATGTTAAACGAATAATTTACATTTCAAATTAATCACGACCAGAAAAAGAGGAAACTCAAGAAATTATAAACAAAATTGGATTTTTCTACACATACAACGTTTAAATTGTTGTGTAAAGATCATGTGATACTTTATAAATTACCTTAAATTAATGACTCACCTTTGGATCCTTAAGGTCACGAATATCCGAAATAATAACGTCCAGCTAGGTAGAGCAGCGCGGTGCGGTACACAGAGCTAGCCGCGTTCACGCACCCACCGTCACCGAAGGCAAGACACTGACTGAGGCGCTACAAGCCATCAGCTGTGAGCGCGCATGCGTCACCTGTCTTACGGCATTGTTAAACAGCTGATGTGCAATTAAATATTCCTAAGTGCTGGACAGTGTGAACGCGTTTGTCGCAATTGACCTTGCTACTAGTTGAGAAACACGGATGGATATTCTGCTGTCATATTAGCGTTTGATAAAACTAAAATGTTTGGGTTGTAAACTGTCTTTTGATAAGGTTAAAATATTAATAACACATAGAATATAATGATGGCTTAGACAGGTGGTATTTGGCCTATACAAGTTTTGACGTTTTATTTTGAATTTAATCGAAACAAATAAAAAGAAGAAAAATTATGACACGATTATGAGTATAAAGTTGGAAAGAATTAATTATACAAATAAATAGAGATTCATTATTTCGATTTTTTAATGAATAATCTATTAAATATAATAAGTATGACTTTTTGGACCACAACAATGATTTTTAAACAGATGTTACTTGTAGACTTTGGTAAAATTGTTAAAACAAGTATTAAGAGCATTCACTATTAAGAAAAAAATATTATGTTGAATTTCATACTTACTTAATTACTATGGCTTCATACTTACTAAATTTAATAGCTGCATTCTAAAAATTTGATGTTTTATTTAATGTTAAATGTATGTACTACACTACTTTACCATTGTGTGTGAAATATGTCGTTATCTCTGTTGTCCATCATCGATATCAGAGTTTTTCATCGTGAAAACATCATTTTATAATTTGTTTATCGAGATTTTACCTGCAAATCGAGAGAAAAAAATACGCATGAATTTAACAGCAACAACAATATATGAACTAATTTATCTGAATTTATGAGCTAAACAGCAATTTTTCCTTAGTCTCTATCCGTACGTACTTCAACTCCCTATGGAAGCAGGTGATTTTATATTATACTTTTCAGATGAGTACAGTAAAATAAAATGACCGATTCCAATGGGGCTATTAAAACAATTGTATAATATATTAGTGAACATTTTCATTAAAGAAACTACCCATATTTAACATTACAACGATCAGAGTTATTAAATTTGTAGACAGAGAAACAGAGTAAATCAAAACTAATTCATTTCATTCAAAAAGAAAACCTTGCGTGAGTGCCAATATTATGTTTTTACAAGGAAAATCAAATTTTAGTAGACAATCTGGTGCGACTGTTATAAAAGTCCTGTATAAATCTGCATTCGGGGCGAAATCTAGGCGAAAGTTTGTTGACACACGTGATGTAACTCCCGCCAAATTCTGGTCACGGCCAAACTTCCTGCCGCAGTTTTCTGTTTAAATTCTTTACCTAATTAACCGTTTTATTTTTCAAATAAATTGTTTATAGTATAGACCTTTAAATGAAGTAAACAACTTTGACATTTGTTGACTAAAGATGTTCTCGATAATGTAATAACTCAGATGTGGTTATTACGATTACTACTTTAAGGCATATTCTTCATATAATCACACTTTATGCAAATTTCTTAGACTCCTTTGCTTTTGTTTTTAAATATTTCTTAGCTATAATGTTAAACTAATAATTTCACATAAACATAGTATAGATATGTGTGGTACTATGTCGTGTTTTTTGAAATGTCTGAACATTTCACATACGATTTGAAATGAAAGTAAACAATAATAGATATATTTAAAAAATCCACAATGGAGCTGCAAGATTAAATCACTATTTTCATTAGAGGGACTTTAACGTGCATAGTCAGAACGGAAGTCTATTGTTATGAATACAGAATATACCCCGTCAACATTTCTATTCTATCTCAAGTGAAAAATGAAATATAGAATAATCGATTTATTGTTTCATATTTGTTCTCATTTAAAAAAATTAAATATAGACGGTCTATAAATATTTAACAATATTGGAAAACTTTGTACTTTTAAACTACGTTTTCACGGAAAACCGTAAATTAGTGATAAAATGGAAATACTTCCTAATCAGAAATCAATTACGAATGTAAAAACACCTACAAGGGCCAATTTTATTTACAACCCATAAACGTGCCAAAGAAATCTGGAAATGCCATCTCACTGCATGGTTGGTTAATTAATAGCAGTTCCCATCATACGATGCGACGTTGGAATGATAAGAAGTAAACTGGTCAGTGGTCAAGCGGTCAGGTAGGTTTGGTGAAGATGGTAGATTACCTTGAGCCCTTTATACCACGGTCACTACTCACTACTCACTACTCACTACCCGACCTAGCCAACTGACTGTTGAGAATAGTGCTGAAATTGGTCAACATGGGTTTGGGAAGCAAATTAAATAAAAGTAGTCTACCATTTTGTGGCTTTGGCACAGTACAGTTAAACTCAACAGTTAACATAGCTCAACCCACTTAAAAATTAGAATTAACTTATGTGGCTACATTCTCAGTACCTTATTTAATTAGAAAAACAATACAGGGTGATTGATATAAGTGTGCCAGCCGTTTTATTCGAAAACTATAAGAGATATCAAAAAAAGTTAAATGTTAAGTGCCTTGGATTTTTTATTTAAAAAATTATAGTCAAGTCTAAAAAGTCATTTTAGCCGCCATTTTTTCAATATGGCCGCCAACTTTGATTTTTCTTACGGAACACCCTGTATTTTATGATGTATTCTAGTAGAAAAAGTAATTATAAGACGATTTTATTCTTGTGATTTTTTCATAAACCTAACCGTTTCAAAGATAATAATGGTTTAAGTTGTGAAATTTTGAATGGTTTTCGAACAAAACAGCTGGCATGCTTGCTTAGGCCTTTATCGAAACTCTTTCTCATGCAGAAATTTCAAAACTTTAACCATTATTATCTTTGAAACGGTTAGGTTTATGAAAAAAATCACAAGAATAAAATCGTCTTAAAATTACTTTTTCTACCAGAATACATCATAAAATACAGGGTGTTCCATAAGAAAAATCAAAGTTGGCGGCCATATTGAAAAAAATGGCGGCTAAAATATTTTTTTTTACTTGACTACAATTTTTTAAATAAAAAATGCAAGGCACTTACCATTTAACTTTTTTTGATATCTCTTATAGTTTTTGAATAAAACGGCTGGCACACTTATATCAATCACCCTGTATGAACAAATTAAAGCCCAGCGAATAATTCTATCTACTTGCTTTTGTCTTTCAAATTATAGGATTAAAATGCTGGTTATAATAATACATTTTAATAAAAATAATTTCAGTAGTAGAGAATTTTGTTGAAAATTACACTGGTATACTTAGTTACATCAAATGCTTAGTGAAATATATATCGTTCAATTGACTATAACCTACACGAGTCAATTCAATAGTTAGTTTTACATATCACGATTTAACCTGGGATACTATGGTTGTATCTGGGAATACATAGCACAGCTGATCACTGGTACATAAATACTTGGACAAATAATGTGCCATAACTCTGAAATCACATTGGCATTGATATTCCAATCACAATAGTGTCCTTTGTAACAGATCCATAAATCTTTCATTTACTATCATAAATGAGTATCATAACCGTTAAGCCTTATCAGTCATGTGTGGTGTGTAGTATTATGCGAGTGCTAAATACCTTTGTTCTGATCAGTCGTTTATATTTGCATCAGTGATTATAATCTACGAATGTTACATAATCAGTAATATACTGTATATATATATATACATTGAATAATCAGTATTTAAAGTCAAAACTGATTATACTCTCAGTACAATTTCACAGAAAAATATACAACACAAAACAACAAGATGAAGTACCCAATTTGTAATAAGTGTTACAATGCTATCCTTATATATAATACGTGAAGGCGATTTATACAAAACACTACTCCTCCGTTAGTAATGGACGGATTTTTACAAACGATGTGTCAAAATAAAGTATTTTTTGTGTAGACGCCCCCTTTCACCAATTCCTGTAATAAAAATCCTCGGGCTTTGCCCCACAGGCCATCAAAGTTGGAGTTTCTCCCATAAGGTTAACATGGGGGAATCTAAATATTTAATTGGAAACTTTGTCCCCACTAATTTGAGAGAACGGCTGGGCGTAGAAACTTTGTAGAGGTGTCCAATGAAAGATAATCCTCAAATAAATTAATCGACTGATAACTGACCTAATATATATATTACTTGATCTGGAATCAAAATAAAAGTTTACTTATTCGTAAACAGGCTAGATCAACTAAATAGCTCGTCATATAATACACTAAATAAGTATTCCATTACCAAAAATGTAGATGGATTATTCTATCTAAAATGTATATAGTTACAAATGCACCCCAAGAAGGAAAAAAATATCTAAATGTATCGAAATTCATAATAATACGATTCGTAATAACAATGAATGGCAATACTTCTCAATACTGACAATCTAGATAGCATTACATGACTGGTAATTTGAGCACTTAAGTAAAATTTTCTGATTGTTATATACAATTTAGGTATTTGTTAAACAACAATCCATGCATTTAATTTTTTTTTCGAATTTGTTTTAATGCATAAATTCACCATGTTTTTGTTTGGCATATGTTTAACTTTGTTAGCTTGATAGCAGGCCAAATTGTCTTACCTTCTGAATTGAATAGTGGACAAGGGATTGCACTATCCTTTACTACGTTCCATTTCCAATTAAAAACCAAGAAATAAAACAAAAACACGAATTATTATTAAGGTAATAAAGTAGCAAAGTAGCATTAAGAGTTAAATACGATAGTCAAAAATATTTATGGATAATGTGGTGCATGCGAATTCGGAATGTATTTAATGTATAATAGTAGTGGCTGTTTCCCTGTCCTCTTTATACGTCTTATTCTTTTAACAACTCTCCAACAAAAACGCTGGATTAAGTATAACATCAAATGCTGTAGTATCATAACATTGTAACCGAGCCCGCCGTCCTGGTGATTGCTGGAGTCATCCCCGTCAAACTTTTGGCGGCAGAGAAGAAGGCAATATATCAGCGGCGTGGAGAGGACCAAGCGAGAAGCGAGGAGCGCGCC